GAGAGAGAGAGAGAGAGAGAGAGAGAGAGAGAGAGAGAGAGAGAGAGAGAGAGAGAGAGAGAGAGAGAGAGAGAGAGAGAGAGAGAGAGAGAGAGAGAGAGAGAGAGAGAGAGAGAGAGAGAGAGAGAGAGAGAGAGAGAGAGAGAGAGAGAGAGAGAGAGAGCAACCCATGCAATGTAGAGTAAGAACCTACTCTTTGATTGGATTCCGTGAATGATTGAACTGATAATGGAAGGAAGTGAGACCACTTAAGGGACAATTAATCTAAGGATGAGAGAGAATCTAACTGAGATTTTATAAAATGCAAACTCTTAAATGGGACTTCAATGGTTTAGGTTTTCAGGGGTTTCCCGCACATTATCTGGGAGAGTATATTGGGAAGAGGAAAGGGGAACAGAGGGCATTTTACTGGAAGTGTAGATTGTGTGTAATATGTTGGGGCATTTAACTTGCATGCTAGGTGGATCCCTTGGATAGGTGGGGAGGATATCTGATCCCCCACCTCTAAGTGCTTAGGTGGTCACATAGGATGCTTTTCTGTATTTTTTTTTGGGTAATTACTTTTCTAACATACTTAACTTTCTTCTTCTTTTTCCCCTGCATTTACTTGGGATGCCTGAATTTCAACTTTATTTTCATTATATTAATCCCCTCCTGTTCTATTTATTTTCTATTAATTTTTTCTCTTCTGTTTAATAGAACTCGTTGTGTTGTAATTTGTATCTTCTTCCTACTTTGCTCATTATGTGTATCCTAGCACTTCTCGTTAATATCTTTACTTGATTATAATTATATATTAAGTTTAGTTTGAAACTTCATCCATTTATCTAAGGAAATGCTGAGATTAGCCCACCAGCTCATATGAACATATGAGCCCAACAGCCCAGATTGAATCTGGGCCGATCTGACGGTCACGACTTCATTTCGTATTTTAATTTTAATGTTTTTTATACGAATCCAAATAACTTGAAATTTTAGACGTGTATTCTTCTCATCAAGGCGCACCTAAGAAAAATATTTTAAAAATAATTCGCAAAAATTAACTTGACCAAAATACCCTCGAAACTTTTCAGGGTTATTTTGGTCAATTTATTTATTGAAAATTATTTTTTTGATATTTTTCTTAGATTCTCCTATTTTTGAATAGTACATACCTAAAATTTCAAATTATTTAGATTCGTAAAAAAAAATTTTAAATTAAAATACAAAATGAGGTCGTGACCGTCAGATCGTCCAGATTCAAGTTGGGCTATTGGGCTCATATGAACACATATGTTCATATGAGCTAGTGGGCTAATCTCAGCATTTTCCTTTATCTAATTTTATGACTAATGTGATGGCTGATGGTTTATATTTTTTCTTTGTTTATACTATGCATGGATTGTATTCCTTCCATGTTTATGCGGTATAAGGATGTTAAATATTTTATTCCTTTGTTTATTTCTCTGGAATTTTAGTGCTTGTCCAAATAGTAAAGTCATAAGGATACACTGATGTTACAGGTTCGATTATATTGTGCGTGATTGCCGAGCTTGTGGCCTTGGGTGCAATTTTCAATATGACAGGTATCTCTGTTCATCTCAATGTTTTTATTATTATTTATTTATTTTATCTGAAAATACTTGCCTTTTCACATTGGTGGATACTTAGAAGTTTATTTACTATTGTCTTCTTAGATCTCTATATCAATTTTGAAAACTGGAAATAATTTTCAAAAGTTTCAAATATCAAATATGTTCTTAGCTGGTTATGTAAACTAGTTTTCTTGGCTATATTTGATTCATCACTTTGTTAAATTAAATTATCTAATTATTTTATTTTTATTATAATAAATCATATAATTTCCTCCCATAACAAGCATATGGGAATGTGATAGGTCTCCAACAAGAAGATTTATTGTTCCAAGGAAAAGGTGTTTGAGTATTGTTATACTGATCATCTGCAGATGCCATGGTCCAAAACTTAACATCTTCAGGAAGTTCACTTTTGTAATATTCCACCCGACATTGGTTAATGAACTCAATATAGTGGTCATATTATCCCCCTATTCAAAACACAGTGGGTGGGCAGTTTAAAAAATCAGTGGATGAATCTGCCCCCTTCTAGATATTTATGACGGTATTAAGTATTGCTTTTAAAGTATCAATAACTATGCTATCATATATCAATGAGTTGTATGGTAAACATCATGATTTACATTGTAACATACTAAAGACTATAGAACATGCTTTATACTTTGGTCTCACTATTGTTTTTGCCTAATCTTTTAAAATATTTGCATTTTCTCTTTCTTTTGTTTCAGTAACTTCAAAAATGGCCTTGAGTTCCCTCAATTGGTTTCTCTAAAAATGCCTTAGTTATGTGTTTCTTGTTTTTGAGTTTTAAGCATATATTTTTTCCTCGACATTGAGTGCATTGATATGGTTGTAAGCTTATTTCAAACATTAGCATATTTCAATTTAAAAATAGGCATGTTTTATATCACTCATTTCGTCAATAGTAGTAATCAATTATGTAACACATTCAAGAGTGTGAGACTCAATATTGGGGAGGGAGTCCCTTTGAGCTCCCTTTGATCAAGAGAGTCTATCTAGCTAATAGAGTTGAGAACATGGAATTAGGAATTAGACTCCCTTTCCCCTCCCAATTGATAATTAGCAAGTCCATCGTAATTTTTTAGCCTCAAATAAGGACTCTTTTTCAGCCAATGTATCATCACAATAGCCAACAAAACCATGCAAAGGTCTTGAGTATCCTACCAAGATCAGCCCCAGCCAAGCCTTCTACCCTGGAGAACTGGGGATTCTTTACTAGTCATCGAAGTTGAATTCTGGCATTCTTTAGCATGTATATATTTCTACACTAGATTTTTCTTTGGCATGTATATGTTTCTACACTAGATTTACTTTGATTTCCTAGTTAACTACTTGTTTTGCTCGTGGTATTGTTTTAGGTTATTAGAAAGCATGCGGGTTATGGGTGATGAAATATGCTACCCTTCAAAGGAGTGTGAGTATTACGATTTCTAGCATTATTTGCTATTTTTTCTAATTCATATATTCTTATAATTTATGCTTTGTTTTAAATTCACATATTCTTATATATTACACTGATATGGGAGAGGTGTTATTAGACCTTACTGTCCACAAATTATTTTATACTCGTGCTGATCTCCATCGAACGGTCTATACTCATGCCAAAGTTAAGGTATGACATAATTTGTACGGTCTGTTCCTTATGTATTCTAGTTTGAAATTTCTCAAGTGGATGCCATGCATTTTGAGACCTTTGTATTTTATGCGCTTACAATAGTCTGCAAAATGGTTAAAAGCCTCCTTTTTCTTTTAGGCAATGGAGCTAATGGTTGTGGATGCACTTACTCTTGCGAATGAATACCTATCTATATCTTCTCATATATTCAACCCTGTGGAGTACTGGAAGGTTTGTAGAGGGCATAAGTGATACTTTATTGGTTTGTTTAATCACAAATTTTCCATCTTATATATTGTTTCCTTTTATGCATTTAAGTTCTAATTCGTGCATCATTTTGGGCATGCAGTTGGATGATACAATCATAAAAGCTATTGAAACAGCTCCTGATCAAGAGTTGAAAGAATCTAGGGATTTGATCCGACGTTTACGTAGAAGGGATTTATACCAGGTAATTGCTTACCTTTTCCTAAATCTCTTTCACTTGAAGGTTTTCTCTCGCAACATCTTACTTTTTTTGCAAATGAGGCAAGGGTATTGCCACACCCCAAGAAAATTTCTGAGATGTGACAGTTTGTTCCTAAACAACCAAAACAAATTCGAAATTTTTACCATATATATATTGCTCCAAAACATTTCCATCAAAATATTTTTGTACAAAGTCTATTTTACCGCTATAAATACATGGAAGTCCATATATGCAATTTTGATAGACAAAAGTTACGAAGGCGAATTTATTCATGACTACACACTTCTTCCAAACTACTCTTGCTGTACATATGAACAATATGATTGCGATTACTCTGAAAAAAAATTCATAATAGCTTGATAAGTTTGACTACTCAGTAAGTGACTATCATCATCCTTGAAAATCAAGTATTGGAAGATGTAACCATTTTCTAAAAGAATGCATAATAAGCATAAATTCGACGTATTGATTTTATGCATTCTAATACATACTATTAGACAAATTCATTTCTAATCGTACACATATCATGTATTCCTTATTGGACAAATAAAATAAGTATGATACATAAACTATATGCACGTGATTCAAATTAGGATGAATCATGATCTAAATTTAATAGTTTAAAACGTTATTGCAATTAAGTATCAGATATGATCAAACAAGCATTCACAACAACAAAAGTCCTGCAATAGAAGCAGTAACCTCAGATCTCAGGCTTCGGTCTCAAGGTTAAAACTTCTACTATCTCACAGGATAAGCACCATCAACGGGTAAATCCGTTGTGTAGTACCTCGCGCACACACACACAGCCCCAACGTGCGTTGGGGCTTTTGATAGGCATTGGCCTTGCAAGACACGACCCTCTCATATGCCCTTCTGGCGAGTGAGCATTACACTATCAAAGGGGTCCCAATGAGTAGTACCTCATATAATTTTGGAGGTGTGACATCCCAAACACAATCCACTTCTAACTCTCATCCTATTATAGAGAGTAAGGATAAATCACAACTGTCGATACAAATATCTCATCAGATCATAGTAGAGGCATGTCTCCATGTGCTCATATCATATCTTAGCATGTTGCCATGCACACATATCTCATCAGAAACATGTTGTCATGCACACATATCTCATCAGAAGCATGTTGCCATGGACACATATCTCATTAGGGGCATGTGTCCTATGTAATCACAAGAAGCAACAATATTTCTATGCTATACATATAGTCACAAGGGACATCACTAGGTCATGCTATCTTGCATATAAATTCTAAAGACATTATTATGTCAATTGCAGACTTTATATCAATGTAGTAGATATCAAGAAACAATAATATTGTATTTACAAAATATTCTTAAATTTATTAATATGGATTCACATGAAGCAATTCATAATAATTACTTGCACATAACAATTGCACATAATACTTATGCATAACACTTGTACATAATACTTACATATAACAGTTGTACACAACACTTGCACATAACACGTGCACCTAACACTTGCACATAACACTTGCATATAACACTTGCGCATAACACTTGCACATAACACATATAACCTTTGGGCATAACATTTACAGTATCTAAGATTTATGTTGCAAATATTACAATTAAATGTAGAAATATGTAAAACTTACAGTTTCGGAAATATTATAATTAAATGTAGAAATATCTTTGAGAATATTATAGAAATATCGGTTTTCTTCAAGTAATGATTTTACAAAAAAATGAAGCCACTTACCTATATGTCACTCTGAGATCGATATGTTATTATGGTTGCTGGAGTAGAATTGGAATCAAGGGTGTTCTACTAAAAGTAGAAAGGAGCGACTAAATGAGTTTCTATGGGAAAAAGAACATAAAAAAAAAATGTCCATATAAGAGAGCAAGAAAACACTATTATAAGTCTCTTTAATGATTTTTAAGAACACTATCATATGAGAACATACTACAAAAATCATAATAAATATTGTAATAACATTAAACAATGTAAATAACATAAGTGCAAAATACCATTCATAAAAACAATATGTAACTAAAAACTGATAATAAATAAAATAAAATAAACTGTATGTAAAATCAATTCATAATATTATAAAATATTTAACATAGGATGATGCAATAAATATAATACAATAATGAAAATATCATGTAATATGGTATTGAACAAAAGTGAACAAGTAAATAAATATCTTGCAATAGGGTATGCAATAATGAAAATATCATGTAATATGGTATTGAACAAAAGTGAACAAGTAAATAAATATCATGCAATATGGTATGCAATAATGAAAATATCATGTAATATGGTATCCAACAAAAATAATACACAAGTAAAGAAATATCATGCAATATGGTATGCAATAATGAAAATATCATGTAATATGATATGTTATCAATTAACAAAAACGTGGTTCATGCAATAATCCATATTATGAGAATAATGAAAATATTATTAAAATCATAACATTATTATGAGAATATTATGAGTGAGAGAGAGAAACATGATTGTTATGAGAGAAAGAATATGATTAGCATAATAATATTATTATGAGGATTAATGAGCAAATTATGATTGAGAGAGTGAAATTTGTTGAAGAAAGAGAGAGGAACTTACAAGTGAAGGGAGAGAAGACTAATCATCATGAAAATATTATTTTATTAACATCATAATACTAATATCATGAGAATAATGATATAATCATCATGAAAATATTATCATAATACTAATATTAAAATTCGTTGAGGAGAGAGAGATATACTTACAAAGAGAGAGATTGAGAGAGAGAGTGAATGATTGGGGATGATGGGCTTTTGAGTGCTTTTTAAAAGTGTGAGAGAGCCATATTTCAAGTGACACATGTAACTTATGTGTCCTTCATTTTTATTATTTTATTAAGTGCATGTGCCACCTTGTGACACATCACCAACAAGAATGCCAAATCACCACATGCTCATTTTTATTAATAATTTATCAATCATTTGGTGTGCAAACGTGTGGGTAAACAAAAATGGTCCTTATGGTGTATTAACAACACTATAAACCATGAATCCAAATCATTTTAAGTAAGTATTTTGTTATTATTATTATTATTTTATGATTATTATTATTATTATTATTTAAATTAGGGTCATCACAGGTGTAGTTTGTAATGTAATTGGAATGACTCAGTATGTTAGGGAATGATCTTTAATTGATGGTCCTAGACAAGATATTTGAAGCATTTTACTTATAGTTCAAACTATACTATTATTTTAATTTACTTTGCAAAAAATTAAAAGCTTACTTATGATGCATTTATAGTGCTCTAAAATTTTTCTACAGAAGTCTTGTATATATGACGGGTTATTTCTTCTAGAGTCTAAAATTTTCCTCAAAAGGCACTTGTGGTATATCTTTTTTAACCATTGGATGCTTAAATAATTTGTCCTCTTTTGTTTTCACACGGTATCCAAGTCACTTGATTTTCTGACGCAGGTTTCCATCTTCTGCTCTCTACTTTCTTTCGGAAAACCATCATCTAATTTTGGATGGATTTTAACCATGGTAGAGAAAGCAGATATCACTTAAAATTTTTTCTTAAAAAACATGCCCATCCATTTGATATGCTGTCATCCTAATACAATAATATATTTAAGGAGAATGCAATCCTTTTACTTCAATATGATAAAATGTTGAGAATGGGATTGGGGTCATGGTAGTAGCATCACTTGTGCCCTAGCTAAGATCTAGGCTCCTATTGTCACCTAACTCATACAAAAACCACTAATGATTTCAAAAAACGGGTAGGGGTTCTTCATCCCCACTGAATTACCCAAAAAAAAAAGAAAAAGAAAATAAAATCCAATCCAGTGATTTTAGAAAGAGTTCAATAAATTATAGTTGGAACTGTATGGTTAAATAGACATGCAACATGCCATTTGCATATTCCATGACCTTAATTCTCATAGAATTAACGCGTAACATGGTTGACCTGTACATTTATTATGGATCCTTTCATGTATTTCAATGAAAACTTTTTCGATAGTGGTTAACGGGAAAACCTAAGTTTACTTTCAAAAGCTCAAGGTGTCTTGGGCAAGGGACTTGCTATCCCCCTTTCTTCAACACCATGGGAAAATCCCATCTCATGATCCTTTGAAAAGGTCAAGCCTACATGGATCGAGTGTTGCTTTCTGGGGGAGGCATGTCTAATATTTTTTACCTACAATATTCGGATGGCATCATTGTTTGTGGGGAGCCATTGGTTGAGGCAAGTCTAGCCTTGATAGCTAAACTTGTGTTTAAATAGTGTGTGATTTCAAGGTCAATTTGGAGAAAACAAAAAGTTGATGTTGGCATAGTAGTCTAGGGTGTATATCGAGCGAATGATGGCTTACTTAGGCTCTCATATGTGTTAGAATTCTGATAACTAGCATGTGGGACAAGGTGATTGGGAAGTATGGTAGGATGGAAAAGTAAAATGTCATCATCTCGTGGCTGCGTTACACTCTTGTAATCTAAGGGCTTGTTTGGATCTCATTTAAGTTGATGATAGTGTGGCTTCATTTGCACAGCCTCTTCTACTCAGCATTTTGGTACCATGCCAAATTCTGTAGCAAGTTGATGCCTTTCTTTTGCGTAGTGCAGCACTAGGATTCGAAGGTCAATGTGTTGCAAATGTCAACACTTAAGGAATCAAGTCAGGGTCCCATTCCTCAATTGGCACCTTTTGTACATGAAATCCTTTTGTACGTGAAATGGGAGTTATTAGTGATGATTGGGATAGAACTTTAAAAATTGCCTCTTCCATATAGGAGTGATCATTGATGATGGACGTAAAACTTTAAAACTTTTTTTGTCCCCTACCAAGATGAGGTAGCTTGGTGCATTGACTTATATATGCAATCCAAACTGGCCTTAAGACAACATTGCTATCTACGTATACATCACTATTAAAGAAACTTAGGGGCACAAAAAATTAAGTACTAATGTTACAGGGGAAATTTCTTTGGAAAGACATTGCTTCAAGGAAGAAAGATCCATCTTTTTCAATGAAAGCTGGTGAGCAAACCCAGAGTCAAGATGAGTTCTTTGTATTGACATTAATCCAGTTTATAAAGTTTTATTGTCTGTATGGTTTTTGAATTGGTGCCAAAGACAATTGGGTTTGAGATGGGAACTTGGTTGTTTTAGTCTTTGTTATACTAGTTTGCTGCATGTGCATTGCAAAAAGGTGCCTTAAGTCCTTGAAAGAATCTAGATTGAAGTAATAACTTAAAGGAAATACATATCTAAAAGATGAGATACCGTGGTGCATCAAGGGTCTGCATTCAACCTATACCTCTTTCTCTTAGTTATGGATGACTTAACTAGGCATCTACAAGATAAGGTACCGTGGTGCATGTTGTTCCTGGATAATATAGTTTGGATTGATGAGACTCGAAACGACATCAACACAAAGTTAAAACTTTGGAGGGAATCTAAAGATTTTAAAATTATCCGGACTAAGGCAGAGTATATGGAATGCAAGTTTAGCGATAATAGGAGTAGAGACAAGGAAGTAATTAAGATTGACGGTCAAGAAATACCAAAAAGAGCATACTTTCGATATCTTGGGTCGATAATCCAAGAAAATGGAGAGATTGAAGAAGATATCGCATATAAAATTAGAGTTGGGTGAGTGAAGTGGAGATGTGAAACATGAATTTATTTGATCGCTGCGTACCAATGAAGCCGAAGGATAAGTTCAATAGGATAACTGTGAGACCAGATTTGTTTTGTGGGATGGAATATTGGGTGGTCAAGAAACAACATACCTATGGGATAAATGAAATCGAGATGAATGAGTGACAAGACAAGAAGGAAGAGAATTTGAAATGAATATATTCATAATAATTTAGGTGTGGCACCAATAGGCAATACAATGAGAGAAAGTAGACTTAGGAGGGCTGGCCATTTGTGGCGAAGACCCAATACAATACCTGTTAGGAGGTGCGAGTTAGTTCAAGTGGAAGGCTAAAAAAGGGCAAGGCATAAGCCCAAAAGGACATGGTTGGAAGTAGTGAGAAACGACATGGGGACTTATGGCCTCACTAAAGGTATGATCCTTAATAGAGCATAATGGTGGACTAAGATTCTTGTAGTTGACCCCAATTAGTTGGGACAAGGCTTTGACGACGACGATGATGATACTACACATCTTTTATTAGGTCTGTTAAAGTGACCAATATTTAGGTGTTATATGGCAACCAAAATAAGCGTGGGCACGCGCACAAGTTCATGGGATGAATTCGACAGACCAAAATAACTTTATAGAGTTTAATCTCAACTGGAATGTACCAGGATGAATGCACTGTAAAGTATCATATTGGAAAAGAATGGCAGTGCATCTTAAGGCCATGAAAAGCTTTGCAGTTTATATCAAGACTGTATTATTTTTTTTTATGCTTTTGTCACCATGGTTGAATTGGGTGGTAATAACCTATGGATATACTTGTTTGATCTTTATGCTGTTTTGTGCTACTAATCTTGTGAAATCCTCTGTGGGAATGTTCTTTGGTGTGAAGATATATATTTGATTCAGCTATTCCCTAGGGACAATGATTTCATGCTATCTTGGTTATTCCTTGGCAGTTTTGCAATGAGTATGCTGTTCCCAAGGATCAAGTGGAACATTTCAAAGACATCACTCCACAAGATATTGTTTGTTCTCAGGTTGGTATGATACTTTGCCTTGTGAAATTCCTAAGTATTTCTCGTCCTTTGGATGTATTGAATGCCTTATTAATCAGAAATTCAATATCCACTTACCATAGAAAAGTGTAGGAGCAATTCTAAGAGAAGAGGATGTTGCTGTCAGCAACGTTAAGATTGATTTCACCCGTGGGAATCAGAACCCACTTGCAAGGTACTTAGATATATATGTTGATTCGAAAGTTTTATTAGCATGAGTTGAATCTCCAGTGTCTGGTTACTGTTATTTTAAATTATATGCTTTCAAATTCTTCTGACACACTTCCTTCATTTGGTGCATATGCTTCCTCATCCAGCATCCATTTTTTCACGGTACTAAATCTCCCATTAACTCTTGAAGTAATTTAATGTTTCTTTCATTAATATTATCTTGTATGTAGGAAATGTATCACTGCAAGTGCTTCTTCCACTTTCTTTTCCTTCTGATGAATGAAAATTTAGGATTCCAGGAGATTCCCCTTGGAACCTTTTATATTGAAAAGAAATGTGTTAGGATAACACAAATATGAAACTCTGTGATGATTGTTTCTAGCATTAGTGACTTCCAATTCGCTGACTTTTCAGGATTATGAGAGTGAGGAGAAACTCACCATTCCAAATGAGCGCATCAGCCACTTGTTGCCCACATCTTACAAGGATACAATAGTCAGGGTCTACTCTAAGAAGCCTGAACTGGTATGCACTCTTTCTTTGTTTCTTTTCTTTCAAGGAAAGTATCCCCATACATAGCCTGTTTTTGATATGTGAAAGACAGCTAGGGCATCCACGTCTCTTCTCATGACAATGGTGGAGATTAACCATGTCCGTGGATGGGGTTAATCTCTGCTATCTGTCTTTGGAAACAACCAAGGATGCTGTGGGTGTGAATCATTTAACACACATAGGCTGTGTATGGCATACTTTCTCTTCCTTTTATTACATCTTGTTTGAGTATTAAAGCTTTTTCCCTGATGCTTTTAACTAGGTGGAGGCAGTTTCTGAGGCCTTCGGAAATTTTCAGCTCAAAACATATGGGATCAAAACTCAGGTGCATGAGACGCCGGAAAAGAAGAAAAGGAGAAAATAAGAGAGACATCACATATAAAAGAATATGAGAAGAAAAATACACACACGTATAGAAGGACAAGAGACGTACATATAAAAGAACACGTAACAGATATTGATGGCCTAGATGAAAATCTGTAGTCTTTTATGCAGATTATGGTGAATCACAAACTGCATGAAGCTATTTTCGTTATTCTTTCAGATCCACGTGGGTTTGGCTTCAAGGAGTTGATAACGGTGTTTGAAAGGTAATCTTATAGGTTGACATGCCCGCTCGTGAAATTGGTCTTTTCATGCATGGCCCTCTTTTTCCGGTTACTTTTTTTTTTTCTTTTGTGCGAGAAGCATCTAGTTTGCATAAGAAAGGTCACTGAGCTCCGTGACAATTTTGAGCACACTGTAAAAATATTAGCCAAGATGATATAATTTTTTGTGAAATTTAACTAGGTCCATGTGGTTCTGTGATATCAGCTGAATTTGATGGATATCGGTTTTGAAGAAAATAAGGAAACTTGTTACAAAAGAGGGAGTAGGTATGATCATGTGGGAGAGAGTTTTGAATTTTAAGGAGCTCGTCCTTTGTTTGTGGGAGAAAGTTTTGAATTTTAGGGAGGTTGTCTTTTTGTTTGCTTCTTCTGTCAACTTCTAATGATGCAAATTCAACGAATGTAGCATCTGTACATGACAAATGATGCAAATTCAACGAATGTAGCATCTATACTTTGCAATGTCAGAGACTTGATGTAACTGTCCACTTGTTACGAGGGTTGGAAGCCATGCCAATGACGTAAATCTCCTACCACTTACACTCAATTAGAAGATATGACAAAAGTGATCTAACCCATATTGATGTGATATTTCCTCCCTAGCAGCCTATGAATTTTTTTACCGGTTTTTTTTTACTATTTCTAGCCGCTTATGTTACATAGACCCGGATATGTGTTAGATATGGAATTGAGTATGGGAAATGCTAATATGAGAATCGGCTTTCAGACATGACATTGCGTGCACAATTTAAAGAAAGACATAGGATTTTAGATTATTATGTATTTTTATGACGAGATTTAATGAAAAAGTTTTAATAAAGTGTCTAAGTTTTTAACGTGTTAAACATAGGTGCAGTGTTCCAAGAAAAGCAGGATCAAATTCTAAAGAGATACGCAATAATCCGAGTGAGAAGATTATGAGCCTAAGCTAATTTTATATTTTGTATATGAAATTTAAGCCGACTTATTCAAGTTGTGTGGGGGGTGCGAGAGAGAGAGAGAGCGAGAGAAAAGCACCAAAGATACGTTTGAAGAATGCATTGTCAAATTAAGGTGTGCCTTAAACCATGCCCTTTATGTTGAGTCAGACCTACTAATAAGCCGCACTTACTAAACCAAGCCTTTTCCCACAAGTAATCAATGAAGAACATTTAGTAGTGCAAGCAACAACAAGAATGAGCGCTACAAGTAAATCACTAACATTTGGATCCTTAGACAGTATTTTCAATAGGGGCGGCAATGGACTTGGACCCGACCTGCGACCCGGCGGTATACTTGACATGGGTCCGAGTTTGGGTCAATATTTGGACCTGCGGTTCGGGTCTGGATCCAAAACTATTAAAGATAGAATACTTCAAGGCCTATTGGTTTGGGTGCATTAAAGATCATACACAATAAAATTCATTGTCATCTTCAGCTACTAAACGACAAATCAGGCGGCTTGAAATCTTATTGGAGGTGATTGTGACATTGTTGCCAATGATAGAAAAAAAGGGGCAAAAAAAGAGAAGAAGCTCATAATGATTTGGCAAATGACTCAACTAGACCCAGGATTCGATGGGATAGACTCGAGACCCGACCGATATTGGTATGGGTCCAAAAGTTTGACCCGAATACATTCGTACCCGACCCATTGCCACCTAAAATTTTCAAATACCTGATATTCCTCATAATTTAAAGGAAAACGGTTGCATAGGGCTGCAGCCCTATCAAACTAAGTAAAGCCTCATCTCAAAACTCTAATTGCAAATTTGGTATTGGAAACCTTTAAATCAAACATCTTGGCATTGAATATTGTGGTTAAGAAAAAAAAAAAAAGGATTTCAGTGTATTGTAATAAACTATCTAGACCATTTTATTTTTACCTTAAAAATATGTGTTCACGGATCTGTAAGAGTTGTACCATTTTTTTGAGTTTCAAATTTCATATTGGAAATTGATTTTAAAGGCACAATGGAGATCTCTACCCGAAGTGCTTTTCAAGTAAAGATTCAAGGTGAGGCTTTGTTTTCATAAAGCCTAGGTCCTATAGAACCTCATCCGAATTTAATTAAATTAATCGTCTTATACAATAAATGGCAAGAAATACACAGTAAATAAAGACTTTTTCCTTCTTAGGACGAGTAAGTATGGAGGTTCCTTTGTCTGGACATATGGATACCCCGTGACTCAATAATGCATGGGCATAAAAATTGTTTATAATATAACTAACCCACATGGTAGAGCAATCATACATTATTTGAAATAAATTACTGAAATTCACTCCATCACCTATTTTTTTAAAAAAAACAAATAATTGAAAAAGGCAAGCTCAATTGGTGTTTTGATAAACCATAGGCATCCAAAATGCATGTCTCGTGCATTGGATCACCACCCCTCCCCCTCTTTATTTGTGATTCAATTTTCCTTTTTTTTTCTCCCTTTTTTAATGTTTAAAATTTCTCTATTAAATGTTGAAATGAACAAGTAGGGGAAAACCTTATATGAAATCTAACCACAATGGACAAAAACATAACTCCTTATCATTTTTATTTATCCATTTTTTGAATAAATGGGTTTGGGGTTTACTATACACTTCCCCTTATGTGTACGTTATCATAAATTCAAAATCTAAAAGTATGAGCTACAATATATTACTCATTGTTTTGCTTATATATATATATTTGTATCCTTGAATGTTTCCATGAGTGCCATTTTTTAATGCTTGTGGTCATGTCCCCATGAACTAAGAAACTGTGTTCTAATGCTTTTTCATGTCTTCCCTACCAATAGCAACGTGACACGAATACTTAATGCCATTGACTTCTCTAACTATTGAGCTTTTACAGATAAGGATCAGATATTGATGGTTTTATTGGGTCACATCTAAGTGAAAGAGGGTTTATTTAAGTCAACTATGCAACTATTGTTATTGGTTTTAGAAAGTGGATCCTTTGTTTCACCAAACACAAGGAAAACTATCGGGTTCCCATACTGCCCTCCCTATTTTTAAGTTAAAAAATACGAATTCCTTCATTCATGCACATTACTTTCTCTCTTTAAGTATATGATGACATGATATATTTATTTCCTTGCATTGAAACTCTGTCTTTCTAAGTATATTGATAACATGATACACTTAATTCCTTGCATTGATGCTCTCTCTCTCTCTCTCAAAACAAGGATTCTCATAAATATACTTTTGAAACCCAAACATAAAGGCTTTGTCAAAAGTACACTTGCACATAGGGAGTATAAAGCTCTCCTTTTTTTTGTAAAGACAATTCAAAGTGTAAAGCTCTCCTTCTAGATATCAAAACTATTTGATACGTACCAGCATTAAAAGCTTTTGAAGGTATCTCACTTTAAATAAGAAAATTTATCAAGGAATTGGATTTGGGCATGAGCGGTTACTGCTGATCTACCAAAAAAAAAAAAACAGAGAGAAAGAGATAATTATAAAAATAAACTTAAAATTTGAATTATTTAATATTTTACTTAATATCAAAAACCCCATCAAAATACATATGATTATGAGATAGAAATAGATTAGAAAGGGTAAAATATTAAATATTTGATAAGTTAGGGGTATATAGTAAATTTAATATTTTACTAATTTTTTGACTTAATATAAAAAAGCTCATCAAAATACATATGATTATGAGTTAGTGTAGATTTAAGGGAAATTATCACAAATATACTTTAATTTTCGTCTGTTTAGAAAAAAAAAAGAAAAAACTTTCATAAACCCTATCCACACCTTTTTCTTTAATTTTGATTGTTTTGTGACCAAAATAACCTTCACGGTAATACGACTACCGTAATAATTTGAATGGATATTACAGTACTTTAAATACCACAAAACCTAAGCCATATTAATTTAATTTTAAATTACGGTACTTTAAATACCGTAAAACCTAAGCCATATTATACAGTATTTTAACTACGGTATAAAATGCCTAGTATCACCGTATTTAGGTGGTATCTATCATGTCTGCATATAGATATCCATATTGATATGTCTATCTATAACTGATGGTATTTATTTGTAACTATTTATCTTTAACTCTTATTGGGGATAAATGCATCCTATGAATGTCAAATCTTATCATAATATATGAACACCAATCTATACTTTATCCTTAATGTTATTGGTGGATAAATACATATAAATACCAAATCTTATCATAATCAAGAAATATGAACACCAATAACTTTATCAATATATATCTCTACATATAGATATCCATATCGATATGTATCTACTGTATATCCAAATGGTAGTTAAAATATCGTATCATATGGCTTGGGCTTTATGGTATTTAAAGTACTATAATTTAATATTAAATTAGTACTTTAAATACGGTGGCTTAGGTTTTAATATGTTTAAAGTACCGTAATATCAATTCAAGTTATTACGATAGTCATACTATCTTGAAGGTTATTTTGATAACAAAATGGCTAAAATTGAAGAAAAAAGGTGTGGACGAAATTTATAAAAATCAAATGTTTTTTTTTTAAAATAGATAAAAATTAACGTATATTTATGATAATTTTTATAGATTTAAAAATGATAAAATATTAAATATTTGATAAGTTAGAGGTATTTAGTAAATTTTCTATATAAATATGAGGAACACTCTTGTACATTTCAGGACATCGTAATTTTATCTCTCCTCAAAATCTAACACAAGTTAACTATGTAGAATCCATAGATCCTTTCATCTTTTTCTTTGTGCCATATACCACCATGGACCATCTCAAGAAAAGTGAAAGCATGGGTCAAGATAATGCCAAAATCTAGAGTGAGAAAAATCTGAAAAAGCAAAGGTTTGGTGGTCCTCATTGATCTCCCACAAATTTTCTCAAGTTTTGCATGAGTTTCTCAATCCTGCATAAATATGGATTCATAAAAAAAGCCCTTTTGTTGGGTGGTGGCAAAGTACATTGACCGTGAACAAGAAAAAGACATTCGAGGGAAAAGAAGGGAAAAAGAGGAAGGAAAAAGCCTTTGTGGGTCAGAAACACACCTTGTGTTCAGGCAATCCATGTGCCCACATGGATGCTTAAGAGAGAGAGTGTAGAGAGAGAGAGAGAGAGAGCAGAGACAGGAACAAAAAGACCAGACCCACCCACCGTTCTTCAGTTGCTCCATTATCCTCTCTCTCTCTCTCTCTATTGTCTTTCATTCGCCCAACTCTCTCTCTCTCTCTCTCTCT